TGGTTCAACCTGTGTTGTACGACCATTTCATTGTCACCCAATCTATGCAAAGTCTACGCGAGTCACGACACCAATTCGAGCACCATCCGTACGCATTGTACGCTGTGGATGTCAAGTTCCAACCATCCCTTCGTCCGACTGGCCGCTTTGCCAAGCAAAAGCACTACTACAGTGGGAAGCACGGCATGTACGGCTACAAGATCGAGGCCACAGTGTCACCGAACGGTCGTTGCGTGGCAATGTCGGAATCGCACCCTGGTTCCGTGCACGATTTTACGATCATGCATTCGCGTCAAGAAGTGCACAAGGCGATGCTGATGAAGAACCAGCAAGACATGTTGTTGCCTGACCATGGTGAGCTCTCCGCGCAGTATCGAGAGCAATGGGCGTGCCTCGTTGACATGGGGTACATTGGTATTGCCAACACTCTGCGTGGGATCCATCCCAAGCGCTGCCTAGTGAACGGTGTGTTGGATGCTAGTGACGTTGAGCGCAATCGCTTGATCTCTTCCGATCGGGTGATCGTCGAGAATTATTTTGGGCGGGTGTGTGCGTTGTGGAAGGCCTCATACGCGACGTTCACGTGGTCGGAGAAGAACTATTGTGCTATTCAACGAACGACGTTTGCCCTATCGAACTTTCACCTGTCGTTGATACCCCTACGTCTTGAAGACGAAACCTTTTATGGAATGGTCTTGGCGCGTTACGAAAGGATGGCAAATGAAAAGAAGCGTAAGCGTGCTGAGACGCAGCGCCGCTATCGTTTGAACCGACAAGAGAGGGCTGCATTGGATCATATTGTTTTTATCTTTGTTAAATTGTGTAATACGTAGCTACTGGTTTAAAGATCTATTGTCGTGCTGAAGTACAACACGTTTGCTCGCGGAAGGGAACTTCGCCTTGATGCCTGGAATAACTCTCGTCATGACATAGTTGCGGTACACATCAGCGTCCACATTCACCAAACTTGGGACAAGTGTCCCCGCAGGGCGATTGCGGGAGTTACGGGCAGCTGGTGCGAACTCCAGGAAGAGCCAGATGCCAAGCTTGCCGTCAAAGCACATGCCACGCGCCTCGTCGTATCGCGGGCGAGCTACAGCCGCCAAGAACATGACCTTGGGCACAAAACGCTTACTCGACCAAACCCGTTGCTCAGGTTATTCACCAGCGGTAAGGTAGATCTTGCGAATGTTCTTGTCCGCATTGAACCAATTTTCGTCGAGGTGAACTACGTCCCACATGTCGTCCAAGACCACAGTTTCGGAAAGACCGGCTTTGCCGGCGCCGCTTGCAGCGGAACGCGAGCCGTGAGGACCGGAGGGACGAACGTGCGAGTGGCAAAACGCAAGCCTCTCAGCCCGGTTTTCGTCGGTGAGCAGAGGTTTGATTCGTGTTGAGCGGCGTTGAATCGTTCCAGCCTTCAACGCTCGATGCAGTGAAGGGAGCGGAATGCCCGTGGCCTTGGACATGTCACGCATCGTGCCACGAAGCGATAGAGGCAACTCACGAACAGTGCTGGCGACAACTTCAGGTGTGTACACTGTCGGTCGACCAACACGGCCAGCCTTCAATGACGGTAAGAGAGCGTTTTGGTGAAAGGTCTTCCAGATGCGGGAGATGGTAGAACGGTGGACCTTGAATTCAGAGGTGGTTGATGCGATTGCTCCGCGAGTGAGCTTGTCCAACGTTGACCGTTGATGGAGATGACGGATTACGTCCATCTTCTTGGCATGCGAGAGCTTTCGAGAGCCCTCTGCCGGTGCATTGGCGTGCCATGGATGTCGAGGTGTTCAGGTCCCGGAAATTTTAATAATGGTTATTCGAATTTTGAATTTGTTTTCGGAGACCCGATGTCGAAGTGAAAATTGGGCGCCAAAATTTGCTCTTCGCGCTTTGCAGTCAATAGAGCTTTCCTTTGATTTTTAATTCCCTATTGAACTCGATATGATTCATCGAATTTGGACAAGAATTGCATTTTTGGGGGCACCTTGAAGTCAAATGTCGCTACTAATATGGAACAGAGGAAGTATTGATTAATATCATTTACTAGTATTAAAACTAAGTACTACAATAAATAAATTATTACCAGTACTACTATACGAGTACAGTACGTACTGTACAAACTACTACTTCGAAGTACTAACAGTACCGGTAGTACAGTAGTACCTGGTACTGTATATATGTACTATTAATAGTACTGTACTACGTAGTACAAGTGTATGTAGAGGTAGTTACATCATGCGTTCGAGGTGGTCGAACGGAATCAACTTGCCCTCGATGTCGCGGTCAGGCATTTCCAGCGTCAATGCAGCGGGGGATGTCAATTAAGACGCGTTATAACGTTATTCACGTGCTCGTCAACTTCATCAAATGAAAGGCTAATAAGGGGTGACGATGGCTTCGAGGCTGAGGCGGTACTTGAACGCATCCTGTCCATGCCAAACCAAGTGCGAGTTGTGCCGCGCGACAAATGCATTGCGCAGGGAGGTTCCAGCGTGAATCTTGAGCGCAATGCCTTGAGCTATAACCCCCGATGGCACAAACGGAGCACGGGGCTTGGCCCACTCGCGCTACTACTTCGGCGTGGAACTCGCGGTGCCACGACGGGGACGACGAGTTGTGGAAGTCGCCGTACATGTAAAAAAGCAAGTGACACCCAACGACAAAGCATCCTCGCTGAGCTGAGTTAGAATGTCGACAGGGGTTTCGGACTTGTGGGAATAAGCCAACTTCACCGGGGAAGGCAACGGGGAGCTCATATGTGGTTAGTGGAGGAAGTGTGTCGAATGGCAAATGAGGTGGTGTGGACGCATATTGAGCAACCGAGGGTGCAAGGAACAAACGGTTGGTGCGGTATCGGCAATGAACGTCGAGCTCACCATCTGTATCCAAGTTGATTTCCAATGTGTGTGGAGAAATCGCATGATTTGTGCCGGCACGTACTACTACACCTTTTGAGACGCAGTGCTCCTAATTGACAATTTCAACTTTCGCAACTCAACGACTTATGGACCTGCGTAGCCCCCTATTCCTAGTTGTTCCTCCGCATGAGAAACAATGGTATGACGCAGTTGACGAGAGTTCAACAAGTCTTTACACTTTGGTTCGCCTTGAAGCCTTGACAAGCAATGGAGGCATCCCGTTCCAGCTTGTTAACAGCTCGCATGTCTGGGTGTAGCATGTTTGATTAACTACGGTTGTTGTTTAGCACTCTGACATTGTATTTTCACATGTCGCCTTTCACGATGATGAAACGTCTCCAGAGTGGTAAGTATCGATAGGGGTAGCTTTTGGTAGTATTTCGTGGTGGTGAAAGCAAGAGCCCCGTTAATCTGTAAGCGACCTCACTCTTTGTCGTACTTGCTGCTGTGGCTTGGCAGGTCAAAGCTTAATACACACAGGACAAGACAGGTGATGTGAAAAACGTCTGGTACTACAGTATATTAGCGTTTGTGCGTCAAGGGGAAGCAATTTTATCGACTACTACGAGAGCCTCGTGAGGGGAGACATAAGTTAAGGCTGTATCAGTTCGTCACCGCAGCATGAGGTCATCTACACACATAAAAAGTAATGTCCATGACTATTATTTGCAATACAAGATTGGTACTTCGTATACCTGCTCCAACCATGCCGAGAATCGTCCCTCTCAGCGCTCGGTGTCGACATAACCGCTCGAGCACTTGCTTTGCCGCGGTTTTCTGGGAAAGCGTGCCAGTGTTGTACAACTTGACAACCGACGGCACGGTGTCCGCCATGTTTCCTACGGCTTCGGTGGACGCGACGGCGAGAAGAATGTTGCACGCGGCGGTCTTTTGGCTATCGTTGCCTGTTTCCATGATGGCCACGCACGGGCCTAGCACCCCCGCTTGGGCTAACGGCACTTGAAATTCTGAATGGGGCGCTAATTTGCTGAGTGCGCTGATGGATTGCTGGCGCACAAACTACGAGGCAAAAAACACGTGCGATCAATCCTACAGTTAGGTGGTTTCATAGGAAATGGATGCACAGTAGAAAGCGACGTACCTTTTGCCCGCGGACCACGTAGTTGAGCAACGTACGAATACCTCGCTCTTTGACCAAGATGGTTCGGTTTTCAGGCACTTCCATGAGCCAGTTTAGCGCCGCGGAGCTGGTTTCTACCACCCCCCCCGAGTCAATCTCAAAGTGGATAGATACAACCAACGTTGTTAAGACGCACCCCGTTGGGCCTGGGTGCCGTTTTGAAGCAAGCTCAAAAACGCTTCGACACCGCCTTCAATGCCGATCTCGCGTTGGTTTTCTTCTGTGGCGCTCAGGCATCGCAGCACCAGCGCCGACTTGTCCCGAACCCCTTCCACGGTGGACTGACTAGTCATTTGGGCCACACACACACGGATACCGTTTTCCTTGACAATCGACGGCTGGTATTCCTTGTTGAGTGCAATCGCCCCCAGTGCCGCCCCCGCTTCGTACTATTGACGATGTAAATCAACACTGCTTTTCACGACTAGTATACATATAAATATATACCTGCTGCGACGACAGACCATGTTCGAGCAACTGCACGAGCATTTTCACGAGTTCTTGGAACCACTCGTTTTTTTCAAATACCTTGATGCTACCCCCTGAAAACAAATTTCGCACGAGCCCCGACGTATGCTCTTTCGTCGACCCTTCCCCTTCCTATGTATGTGTGTATAATCATTCAAGAGGATTCGAGATCCTCACTGGTGACATAAACAGTTGAAATACAATCTCGCACGAATCGTACCTTGAGAAGCATCGTAAAGAGAGGCATTTTGTGCCTTGATTCAATCAACGTGATGATCTTTCGCCGGTAAACGCAACTCGTGCGCGCAATGATTTTCAGCAGCAGTAGTGCTAATTCTGTGTTGGGCACTACAGGTCATACACAACATCAACTAATTCGAATGTTGTTGTGCCTTTACTGGTTTGGACAAGTAGGTGCGCATATATCAATACCAGCAACTTTGTTGGTCCCGAGAGACCGCACCAAGACGGGAAGGATTCCCTTGGCCACCATTTTGTCTGCAAATGGAGCCAACATAGCCAGCCCCACGAGCCGCTTCATGACTTTAGTGCACGTGGGTCGAGGTGTGAGCGAGTTTTTGAGCAGCCGGATCAATTCTTTGATCCCGGACAACCCCATGTCCAACGGCACGCGGGGCTTGGCGTTCAACGTCCGGATCTTGTCGGCCAGTTCGTCGCACCCGACATCCAGGAACGCTTCGTCCGTAAAGTCCAAGCACTCGGAGTCGCCGACAATCTCCCGCCACTCCCCCGTCAAGTTGTCCTGTTTGATTTTCAATCGGGGGACTCGAACAAGAAAGTGAGGGGCGGAGGATATTGGACGTACGTAGCGCTTCAAGTCTTCCTCCATGACACACAGGACGATGTGCGTCATCGTTTGTGTGGCCAGCGCCTGGCAAAACTCGTACTGGTTGCTGTCCAAGAGGCCGTCGCTGTTGACTTGGTTCATATACGCGCGAGTGAGAAACACCACGACCACATTCGAGTTGAGCACGCCGTGGTCAATCATTTTACTCGACGCGACGCTCTTGTCTGCGTCAAACCACACGAGCAGCCCTCTAACAATGGTGTTTGTCAGAAGGATATGGCGTCTATTCGACACATACTTGGCCACCAGAGACTTGTGGATGGCCGACACGCGATCGCGCATCGGACGGCCCAAGCTGTCTTTGCCCGTCGCGTACGCCAAGTACACTTGATACTCCAATGGCGTCACGTTGTTGGTGTCGCCCTGACGAACTTGCTGCAGAATTGCGTCCACCGTCCGACGACGTTCTGACGCCTCCTCGGTCTGTTGCTGTAGCGCCCCTGGCTGCAGATTGATCTTGGACAACTTTCGGCTCAAGTCGTGCGACGACAACTCCTGCCGATACTTAGGCTTGGCGCTAGCCGCCGCCCCCATCTCGAGATTGTTCGATGGCCCAACAAATGGCTATATTTAGAGGAGGCATTAGTTGTTGTAAGCTTGCTTAAGAGTCTCACTCTAGTTTTGGACATTTTTTGCTCCCAGTGTGGTGTTGCTCTCTACGACGAAGTACCAGAAGGAAGCATATGCACATATTTTGGAGGTTTGAATCAGAACCCCTGAATCCACTCAATGTGCACAAGGAAAAGTGTAAATGATGCATGTAGTGTGGTGAACACTCCAACATACGTTTCAAGGTGCAGCAGTAGGGCTAACTAATGGTTGGGAAGATGATAATTCTGTGGTCGCCTGGGCTGCTGGTTCAGGGAGTGGTGAAGATGAGGTAGTGGTTGGTTGCGCTGGAGGGGTGGCAGCCGATGGAACGGCGGCTCCTACAGCAATGGGGTCCGGCGATACCTCCTTGTTGTCCGTGGCGAGGGAGGCGCGGAGGCTAGCGAGGACATCTTCACTCGTTTGTTGTTTCTCGACAGAGTGTCCGATGGACGTCCTTCGAATCTTTCGGCTGCCCGTAGACCGCGCAGGCGACGCTGCACTTATGGCTGGCGAATCCACGGGGGGGCTCGCTAACGTTATGCCAAGCTGTTTTTCCTTAAACGATTTGAAGAATAACGCAATCTTCTTGACGTGAATGGCGTTGGTGACACCGAGGGTCTGCACAATCGACGATACTTCGTCGATGCCGAGCTCGCCCATGAGCTGCCCGTCGATGCCGTTGTCGACAATCTTCGCCCCGTACGGCTCGTACGCAGCCCCAAACCCGATCACGATCGTAGCGATCTCTTGGGCAGAGTAGTTGGTGATCGTGTCAATGGTCGCTTCTGCCGTTGTGGACCCGCTTGGCTTGGATAGCGTGCCTGCCCCCATAGCGACTTATCTTTACACTCGACAATTGAAGCCAACCCTAATTATAGCCCAAATAAATGACAACGTGTCACATGGTGTACTTGCTAACATGTCGGCTACTGTGCTGTACTTGTATTCCTCGTTGCTGACATACTGCATCGCGACTCAATCGTTTCGTTTCATCAGCTAACGTCTACCGGTATAACAATGACTACAAATTCTCCCACGTTGTTCCCAGTAAAGAATACCACACTGTCCGAAGCTTGGTTGATTGCACAAACTCGGGTCAAGTATTAACATCGGTCAACTGCACAATATCATTCTAAGCCAACAATATTCTTGTGTTTTCTTGGAATCCAACGATTTTACTTGAGTTTCCTGGATGGCCACTTTGTTCGCGCCTTGGTGGGGCTTCGCAGCACTGGTAATTTGCTCGCTCGGGACGATGTTTGTTGCGGTAATTTGGACGGAAGTTGTTTAATCGATCGAAGTTGTTTGGTGGGCGACGAGTTGTAGTACAATCCAGTGGAGGTGGTTGGGGGGGCTACAACCACGTTGCTAACGTAGTTGCTGTACGTGGCTTTGGGAAGAAGACTGGGCAGTTTCGCGTTGCCGAGCACAGCCTTGACGTCTTGCGGCGGTGGTCGATCTTGGTTGGAGAATACGCGTTCCAGCGACCCGTTGTGCTTGTCGATAGCTTTCTGCAGATGCGTGACAGACGTCACGAGCCGATCCAGCTGCAGGTCGTGGGCTCTCATGCGTTTCGACAGCTCGACATTGACCGAGTTGGCAATGAGAGTCGCCAATTGCGATATTTGCGCCACGTCCGTGGTGAAAATGGGCAGCAGAGAAGACGATGGATGGAGTGCGCTGGCGGGGGAGTTGAGGCGAGGGGGTCGCATCGGAGGGGAGGCGGTAGCCTTGGTGTTTTTGGGCGGTAGATGGCGCGGTCGTGGTTGTTTGCGCGCGACCGCTGTTATTACTTGTCGCAGATGGGTTCGGCCTAGATATACCCGCCAGAACCGTTGCACTCGACGGGCGGCTTGATCGTGTGCGAAGGACGCATGTCGTTTGTCAGTGGCTTTGGCTTTCGAGGGGAAGGCAGGAATCATCCCCGTTGATTCTGTCAATGGTGGTGGTCGTTGGCTTGTTGCTGGTGCTGCTGCAGTTTTTTGCTTCTGGCGTCCGAGAGCGATCGCCGCGCGCAGTCGCGCTCGGCCTCGATACACGTGCCAGAATCTCTGCAGACGCGTCGCCGCCTTGTGATGCTGTCTCCAACTCGACGTGATGATGGCTTTGGTTGGTCTCATTTTCTGCTGCGAAATCGTGCCGAGTACATAAACCAATCGTTGTTTGCATCGATAGACGTGCCAGAACCGCTGGAGGGTTCGGGCCGCTTGATTTGTGCGATTCCTTTTCACTGGGGAATGCTGCTGCTTTACCGCGTCGATTGATTTGGTAGTTTTCTTGACGCGGCGCTGTCGGACGACAACAAGCAGCCGTTGTTTGCACCTATAGACATGCCAAAACCGTTGCAGGCGCCGTGCCGACGCCTCTCGTCCACGAATTCGTGGCGTCGTGGAAGGCACGTGCTGCTGCCTTCGGCGCCGGGCAACATACCTCCGTCCGTGCGCTTGAATGCGACGGGCGGCGTGTTGCGGAGTTAGCGGCCGTGGTTTCGATGCTAGGGCCGCTTTCACTCGACGGGAAGACGTGGCGGCGGCCACCTGTTGACGTTTCCTCCGATTCGTCACATATGCTCGACCGCATTTTTGAATGCGCGTGGCGGCAACGTCCCTTTGTTTGTGTTGCCGTCGGCGACTGGTTTGGGAGCGGTACCATCGTTGAATGTGCTCGACGGGTTGAACTTCGTGTTGTTGGTGGGCAAATGGTGGTGGCGTCGACTTGGCCAATTGCTTTTGAATCTGATTCTGAATCGTTTGCTGGATGACCTTGGTTTGCACTTCGTGGGCGCGCTCCCGCTCCACGCGGGCCGCCGCCGCCCGCTCTGACCGGCGCCTCGCTTCCAGTTCCATTTGCATTTGCGTTTCCGCCTACAGCGTACACATGTACGTAATGGTCATCCCATCTCCAACAAAACTACTCTCAAATACCCCCCCAACCCTTCACCAACTATCATCATGAAGACTCCCCAAGTGATACGCTTCGTACCTCGCGACGTGCGGCTTGGGCGGCGTCGGCGTTGGCTTTGGCTCTCTTCAACGCTTGTTTGAGCTGCACGACGGACCCAATGCTCTTCGTTCCTGTCTTGGCCGCGTTCTCCTTGGACTGCTTCGTGGTTGTTGCTTCTGTCGTGTTGTCGTGGTAATGGCCTTGCAGATCGAAATACCCCGAGTCGGTGATGTAGTAGCCGTCAGCATCGTAATACCCTGCGGGCGTTGTCGTCGGGTCCAGAATCTTGGGGAAGTAGAGCCCGTCGGGGCTGTAGTACCCGCCGTCCGCCATGACGTAGTTGCCACGGTCGTCGTAATATCCCGACTCCCCCTCAGGCAGTAGTTGTTCTTTCAAGTCCGCAGGTTCTTGCATAGACTCTAAAGAAGCTCGTGGTTCCGTGGCTTCGACGGCACTTGGGTGGAGGGCTCTCGAGCCGCTGTGGGAGAGGTTTATGGACTTGCCTTTGTGCCTCCAATGCGGATCATCATCATCACTTTCGTTGTCGTCAAGTGGTGTCGTGTTATCCAGTGCAGGATATGCCTTGGAAGGAGCTGCTTTCGTTGGAGACTTGCTGGCGGCATTGCCTAGATGTGATGTGATGGTCCAGCTATCTTCTTGCATATCAACGTAGTTGGCAGGAAACAGTCCTTCGTGATGGGACGAGTCCGACGCGATGTACCCCCGACACCATCCGTCGTCCAAGGTCTCCAGGACAACCACCACGTCTCCCATCCGAAGCGGTAATTCGTCAGGCTCTACAAATGTTCTAGCACCGTCATGGTAGTAGAAACGACATGAGTACTCACCGCGAGGAAGGTAATCAAACGAAGCCATGGCCCGTCGCGCAATCGGTGTCTTAACGGTCACCACAGGTCGATAAGGCGGTAAATGCGACGGAGGGAGTGCGCTGATTGTCGACGGTGGTGACGGCGTGACATTGCGGACGTAGTTGGATGGAAACAGACCCATATGCTTGATTGAGTCGGACTCGACAAACCCTCGACACCACCCGTCGTCTTGCTCCTTGATGACGCACACGACATCCCCTTCATGGAGTTCCAGCTCATCTTCTTCATCAGGGGTGTAGTTGTACAACGCCGTGGCCTTCCTCAGTGGAAGGAGTGCCGCCGACGACATCGTGGTCCATGGGTGGGGGTTTCAGATTGACACACTACAATGTGTAACCGGCGTCCGGATACGTCAAAACAAAATAATTCTTTTTTTATAGAATGACGCCATGCAAACTTGGTGTTTGTATACGCGTTGGCTGAAAAAAGATTTCTAAGAACTGAACGCGACTGAAGGTGACACACACTCGCCCAAAGTTGACGAGGCGGCAGGAGCTCACCAGATCCGGACGACAGGCACCATGGGATGCAACAACTCCAAGGAAGGCGAGGTCCAGAATCCGCGCATGCACCCCATCCGTGCGTCGGGGCTCGACCACATGCCCGACGACCTCGCGTCAGACCTGGTCCAGCACACCGTTGTCAAGGACATCGCCGACACATTCGACTTTCACGAAGTCATCGGACAAGGATCGTTCGGAAGCGTCATGAAAGCGACCAACAAGAAGACCAACAAGCCATGGGCGGTCAAGGTCGTGGAACTCAACAACGAGCTCGACAAGGTAAACACTCACAATATTTCAGCACGCTGGGCATCCCTCATATGCAGCATTGCCCTCGTCGTAGAAAGCGTTGCTGAATGAGATCGGCATCGTGAAGCGTCTGCAACATCCCAACATTGTTCGCGTGATTGCATCGTACGAAGACTCGAAGCGCATGTACATGGTAATGCAGTTGTTGCCGGGCGCGGAACTGTTTACGCACTTGCACGTGCGGGGCCGCCATTTCACCGAGGTCGAGGTCCGCAAGTTGATTCTCTGTCTTCTTCGCGCCATCTCGTACCTCCATTCCAACCAAATCACGGTATGCATGCTCCTCCTCCTCCTCCATCGCATCTCATCTCACCCGTCTAACAACATGGTGGTCCATATTTTAAGCATCGCGATTTAAAGCTGGAAAACCTACTGCTCGAAAACGAAACCCAACCCACGTCGTTGAAACTCATCGATTTTGGCCTGAGCAAGTTTGTCAAGAAAGGCGAACGCATGCAGCAATCCCTCGGCACGATCGGTACACCTACCTACCTGCCCCTCCTCCATCTTTCTATCTCATGTATCATTTGATAAATCAATATATAGCCATGTCTGTCGTCTACTGCATGTAAATTCACTTGTTGCAACTTGATGGCTGTAGACTATGTGGCCCCAGAAGTCCTCGACGGCGACTACAACGAAGTACGTGGGGTCGCTCGCTCGCTGCATTCACACCATCCATCATCCATCAATCTGTCTATATTGTGCTTTGATTGTATGGACAAAAAACGTCAGTACACACTAATTTTAGTCACACACTAATTCGATGTGGAATGGCCCGAGTGCGAGAATCTGATTGGCCACGGTGGATTTGCGTTTTGAGTTTTGATTGGTCGATCGATTTTCTGTCAATTTGGTTGGAGAGAGGATTTGGATTGGCGACTGGATTCGCGTTCTGGGTTTTCATTGGTCGATCGATTGTCTGCCGATTTGCGTTCTGAGTTTTGATTGGTCGATCGATTGTCTGCCGATTATTGTGTTCTGGGTTTTAATTGGTCAATCGATTGTCGTTTTGGTTGGAGAGCGTATATATGATTGGCCACTGGATGCGCGTTCTGGGTTTTGATTGGTCGATCAAATCGACAACATATAACTTGATGCATACTGAAATGGAGTAGAAATGCGATCTGTGGAGCGTGGGTGTGATCTGCTACGAACTGGTCACGAGGGTCTCTCCGTTCCACGGGGACACGAACGACGACACGATGAACAAGATCTTTGACGGCCTCAAGCCATCCTTTTTTCACGGCGACGTATGGCAGACCGTTTCGCCCGACTGCATCAACTTTATCAAGTCGCTGATCCAGGAAGACCCGGCGGGTATCGACATCCTCGCCCTCGTCCTCGTCAAGTCAGAATCGTTTGTTGTAGAGCGGCTGTCGGCAGAACAGGCGCTCAATCACCGGTGGATCCGGACGTCGGCGGCCGGCGTCATCGACGACAACAAGCGTCACTTGTTTATGAAGATGGTCGCGTTTGGCAAGAACTGCAACCAGCTCAAGAGCACGGCCATGCTCAGCGTCGCCATGGGTGTGAGCGAGGAGCACATCAAGCCCGAGATCGTGTCGGAAGTGTTTCACAGCATGGACAAGGACAAGGATGGCACGCTCAACGCGGACGAGTTTTGCGCAGCGTTGGAGGAGTATGGCATCGGACACGAAGAAGCGCTCAGTGTGTTTGCACGCATGGACCAGGTATATATATATGTATACGTGCAGAGTAGATATATTGCGCTTTGAAACTCGATTGAATATTTTGTCTTTCTTTTACTCCAAATTTGGTTGACTTTTGTGCTGATTTTGCGCCAAATCTATCGATTGATTCTTGGCACTGACTTTTGTATGTAAAACTCGTCCGATGTCACACTAATTTCAGTCATACACTCATTCGATGTTGCATTGGTCGAAGAATAGATTTGATTGGCTACTTGATTCGTGTTGTGGATTTTGATTGGTCGAATATCGATTGTCTGCCGACTTGGTGATTCTGCTCATTCGATTCAACACCTCACTACTGCAATTTGGATATTTGGTGTATGTACGCCCAACCCATCGATCGATCGATGATGGTTTGTCCTGAATTTTGTATATACACAACATCCGACGCCGTGGATACTCATTTCACACTATTTGATGGTGTCTGGATTTCGATTGGCCACTGGAATTCGTGTTTTGGGCTTGTTGGATTGGTCGACCGATATTGCATGTTCGATTAAAAATATTGATAGTATTTTTATTTAACATATTTCATTTAATTAAAAATAATAAAAATAGTTGTGTGCCGATATATGGGTACCCCCATTCCAAATTCGAATCGACTTGACAAGGATAGATATATATATTTGACCACCACACTATTGTTTGTCATACACCAACAACCATTCCCTGTGGATTTGAATCCTCCATTGTATTGAATTTTGCTATTGAATTTTGTTCACACACGATTTGGTTTGTCATATACCCATCATTCTAGGTGGAGTGAATGGATTCGCTATCTAGTATTCTCCTGGTTGTGTCGAGAATACTTCGTTTGGCCCCTACACACTACTAGTACTACTAGTACTACTACTACGACTAACCCGACATATATGCCAGAGCAAGCGCGGGAAGATCAACTACATTGAGTTTGTGGCGGCAGTGTTGGACGAGTTTGGGGACGATACGATGAAGGAGGCGTTTGCGATTCTGGACGCGGAAAAAACGGGTCGAATCTCGGTCGTGGGGCTTCAGAGCGTGTTCAAGAACGCCAAAGAATCGGATCTCAAGGCGATGGTCGCCAGTGCCGACGTCAAGGGCAACGGATCGGTGGACTTTGAAGAGTTTAAACTCATGTTTACCGACATTGCCGCCCCGCCAATCCACTCAGGGACGACCAACTTTGCGGCGCAGTCGAGCCAAGCCGCGCTGCTCGGCGCGGGGGACAGCGGCGTCCATGACGCGGAGGTGTCTGGCCGTACATTGTGATCCCATTCATGAGGGGTTGGACCATTTCGGAGGAGGGGGATGCGGCGATATCGCCATTCCTGCTGCTGCTGCTGCTGTTAGCTGCCATCTTGTAGACAGATTTGAACAACTATATAAGCCACGGGTAATTTAACAAGTCGATGAAACAACGTAACCATTAAGAACTATATTTACCATTCGTGGACAATCGATAACATTATTGTCGACATGCATGCAGTAGAAATCGTAACCGGAGGTCCTGCAAAATATGATATAAAACTAAATTTCAGGGGTATCGTTGAGAATATTCACCAATTATCCTGCAACCCTCATTCTTTTTAACCAACCACACTGCTTGGATCGATTGGGTGATATATTTCACAATAACGTTAACTAACGTTAACGATACATCAACGTGGCTTGCATTCGAGGTCTCGTGTGTTGGTCGTACACTTGGGTGCGTACAGTTAGTTAGTTTGATGCGTGTTGGTCGTACAACCATCCCGTGGAGACCAACTAAATGGATGGTTGGTGTATTGTCATTTTACCAGATACAAAACGCTAACATAAATGTGGTACACGTGCCCGAGGACGGCGGATTGTTCAATGGATCCCTTGCTTTAGTATCTCGTGCGGCGATTGCCAATAGCGTAAATATCTTACTGTAGTACAGTACCCCGACGTTTGCAGGTACGAGATATGTGTATGTAGCCATGGTGCCTGTCGTTATGGCGCACCTTCGCCGCCTTTCTCTTCACCCACCATACACAGCACTCCTTCAAGTGCGTCTCGGCGGCATTGACGCGCCCACAACCGTCTGCGCACGTTCGACGTCAGGAGGCGCTGGTCGGCCCATGGTCCGTCCGCCGACACCGCATACACCCATCCGTCGGGGTCGCCGACGGCCACTTTGAATTCCCATGGACCAACCTCCTTGTACCCCGCGGGCGTGGCCTCCACCGCGTCTACAAACGAGACGCCGCCAACGTGGGAGCGATGGTCACTCGACCACGGCAACGGGTCACTTGACTTGAGGTGCGAGTGGTGCCATCCGCCCGTGACCCCGCGGCGTTGATGTTCCCATATCTGCATCACGACCAAGTCCGTCGCGTCTAGTTCGGACAGCAACGCCACACCTACGTACAGAAGCGGCTGCACCTACTTATCCCACGGCCGACTGTTAGAAACGTTAGCGTAGTGGATGGACGCAAAGGCGTACGTACTCGCTGGCTGGTATAGACTTTGGGCGTTTCAATGGGATACGCTTGAATGGTCATGTCGGTCAGAGTAGTCGCGCCTTGCCATGCCGATATGTCGAACGCCAGCGTGCCGAGGAGGTCGTCGGACTTGGCCATGTCGTAGTCTTTCACTTCGATCTGAAGATGCTGGTGCGTCTGGATCTCGTCCTCTGTGAGCACAAACTCGAATTGCTCACGCCGCCAACTCGGATTCAATGACTTAACCACCACCGTACTGCAGATACGATGGGCTCCAAACGAGAACTTCAAGTACGGGTCACTTGCGCCGCCGGCGAGGATCGAGTCCCCCACGGGGAGATCAGTCGCCTTGTCCAGCACGATGCGAAGGTGGTGACGACGGCTCTCTGGCTGAGTGGATGCTGGTCGTGGCGGCGACAGGAACGAGCATGTAGGTGGGTGGAATAGCTGGCGCATGTTGGTTGCTTGGTCACGTTGAAATAGGAAGATTTTGCACCTCTCCAGCGTATGGTCAAATTATCTTCCACCTCTTGTAACCACTTGAATATTGTAAAGATATATTGAATATATTGAAATACATATATATTGAGCGGAGTATTATTTCGAGGTGGAGAGTCACACTATTTGGGATTGCTGTGATCATTATTCCCATTCTATCCAATCAGAATCATCACACATTTCTTTTTAACCAATGTACATTACTCTTCGTGTATTGTCAAATCAGTTCTATTTTGGAGTTTTCAATGAATTTCGCAATCGTATTCCAGGATGACCTAGCCAATCAAACTGCACTTACGAAATATTTCAACCAATCATCGATAGCAGCGTTGGTACATATTCATAAACTATTCAGTGTCGGAACCACAACACTTGACAAGAGCGGAGCAAGAGACATCATGATTGTGTCGACTCTACCTTTTTTGAACAAATTTGCACCTGAGCTTTCATATACTGTACTCTGATTCAAACCCTATCCATATCCTTGAGTTGTACTTCTCCGAAGTACTACACCTTTTAGAAAAAAGGTGTAGTATGTAGTAGAAGTTGTACAGTCAAGCAACATACGTCAGCTTACTGGTATACTGTCAGTATAGTACGCAGTACAGCATACAGAATTGCAGTGGTTTCCATCTTAGTACATCATGCTGTATCTTGACATCAGTCCAAATCGCCCGATAGCTGGCACTTTACACATCCACTAAGCGTACAGTGGCAATCACCGCATTGCTAGCCCCAAGCAAAGCCACTTTCCATCCGCTGCCGCCACATGGACCAGCCTGCATCTACCTTGCATACCAAACCGTTGGCCGCGATTGTCTTGAGTGGGCTGGCGTTGGTGGTCATAGGCATGGCCTTGTACTGGCACCGGCGTCGCGTCCTCGACTTCTTGTCCAGTTGCCGTCAATATGCACGACACGCCACCAAGCCAACGATGAAATACCGCGCGTTCTTGGACGACAGGTATCTAATACAGTCAAGCGAGGTTGGCGTAACATGAGTAACAAACACTACATTAGCCACGTCGTGGATGAATGGCTGTGCTGGGTATGCTACCACAAGAACCAGCACCAGAACTCAACCTGTGCCATGTGTCGATACGAGTTTGGTGCGTGTGTACGTGGCAGCAGCATGTGGGGCCACTAACCGTGGCGTTAGATCCAGCGAGCTACTCGGCCAACCTGTCGCCCACCGCGCTCCACCGTCGTTCGCAGGAGTCGACCATCAGCGCTTCGCAGCAGCGCATTCGAAATCGCCACCTCTGGAAACGTGCGCCTGTATCGCCAAACTCGAGTGCATGCATGATGGTGCACTGGGTACAACCTATCATGAATGTGGTTGCCCGTTTATATAGTGGGGACATGTGTAGGTACATACGCCTGTCCTGGACATATCAAACCTCCTGCAAGGCAAGTTACCGGACGGTGCAGCGCTCTCAATCGTCTTGGATGGACCGTACAATGAAGCCACCAGTGCCTTGATGGACACGCCAGCCCAGGATTCTCCTGTGGCATATCTTCGCGTCGTTCAACACGACACGTCCACGTGGGTTCGCGCTGGTAAGTTGACCTCGTTTCGACGTTCAAAAGATATTTTTATTTCCTATGATTTGATTTGATTTACATAAATACTAGTACTTCGAAGGACTAGGATATTATTATATATATATCAATAATAGCGCTATTTTTTTATTTTTTACTTCGTATCCCAGGAGTATACTATGGTGTGTGTATGTAACATATATGCAAAATATCGTATCATTCTTTTTCAAAAACAATATATCGTTATAATCCGCTTTGTATACTGTTTTTCAAAATAAGATTCTACACGTCTTTTCATTACTTGTAGACACTGTGCGCTGGCCATCGTCCATCTACACCGATGCAGACGTGTCTTGGGATATCATTCAGGTAGTAGTAGTTATCCGTTTTCACTTTATATCTCCTTCCTCGAATATATCGCTCCTCGAAAGTATCCCTTCCCGACTCCTCCCGCGCTTAAATTTTTTTATACAAATACGTGCAGCTATTCGTTTCGTTTACTACTAGTATGTCCTGACCATACGATCCGATGTAGGCGGTCGCGACGGAACCGTTCTCGGCCAAATTGTCGTGGTTCCACCAACTTTTGCACGCGGGGAGCCGCGATCACGCGACGGGGTACTCGCTCGTGAGTGTGCACCGCGATGAGGTGGTGGACAGCTCCATGAAGCAGCTGCTGGCGATCCCGCCGTCGTCGATGCGCCAACGGCTCAAAGTCGAGTTCCACAACGAACCGGGCGTGGATGCTGGCGGCGGCGTCCTCCGCGAGTGGTTTGGGCTGGTCAGTCGTTGCCTGTTTTCCCAGTGGTTTCAGCCCACACACACGCCCGACGTCGCGTACTGGTTCAAGGCTGGAACTAGTATTCCTAGGGACCAATCGCCCGAGGTATAGTCCTACTACTAGTAGTACTAGTACTAGTAGTCGGACGAACCAAACGTGGTTTTTGGTAGATGTTTGTGTTTGCAGGTCGCGTGGTCGCCAAGGCCATCCAGGAAGGCCAGTGCTTGTCGGTACATTTGGCCATTCCGTTATGGAAACATGTGCTGGGGATGCCCATGACGTGGCACGATCTCGTGCATGTTGACGCCGACCTGCATCAAAGTATCGCGTGGATGTTGACCCACGACAACCCGCTCGAGGACTTGGCTCTGGACTTTACCATGGTAAACAAACTTGGAATTTATATATTTTGTAGCTCGCGGCAAGGGTGCAGCGAATTGGGGAAATTGAAGGAAATGCACAATATTGATTTGGGCGCAATTGAATCACGTCGATCAAACCGATCCCACATCGCTTCCATTGGTCAATCTATAAATGCGTGTCGTTGATTTGCTATATTCTTTTTTCTGTTTACTTGAGCTCCTTCTGCGGAATTGGGAAAGCTAATGAAATGTCGCGATGAGATTTGTGAACCGGTTTACAAGTCGCGCAGGATTGGGACATCTGTGGCGATTTCATAATACATACTATGATATATATATATATATTGCCAATCCAGAGTATTGAGATGGCCTTATGAAAAACACACATTGTCGTGTTGTAGTACATCCCGTCGGTGGCTGCTCCATGTCTTTATTGTGGCGATGTTGTAATTGTCCTATCAGCCATAAATTGGATTTGTGTGTTGATTCGCCAAATCCATCGATCGATGACATGTTTTATATTAATAATTCTTTTATATTAATAATTATGAATCAATTATATTAAAATAATTATGAATCAATCCTTGTGTATTTAAATATATACCATGTTTTCTAAAAAACGTTAATCCAGGTAACAACATGCATGTAAAACTTGACCAGTTTCACACAACTGTATCCGTCACGCATTACTTCAATGTTAAATGGTTGATGCGAGAATTGTTTGATTGGCTACTTGAATCGTGTTCTGGGTTTTGATTGGTCGTATATCGATTGTCTTGCTGCTCATTCGATTGAGCAAGTACCCCAATCCTCGACTTGACAAAATACTATCGTGATACTCGTGTAGCACGGGGTTCCATTGATGGCCGGGGGCGCGGACGTGGCCGTAACCGACGCCAACAAGTTCGAATACGTGGACAAGTTGGTTGGGTACTTGTTGTTCGAGGCGGTGCATACGTCGTTGGAGGCGTTCTTGCAAGGGTTTTACGATGTCTTGTCGCCGCCCGTGTTGCACGCATTTGATGCGTTCGAAATGGATTTGGTGTTGTGTGGTATGTACGACCTATTGGACGTTCGCGACATGCACGATGTCGCAGAAACAACACAAAAAGAGTGTATAAGTAAGTGTATTGGTTGCAGGACACGACGACATCAACGCCACCGACTGGCACGTACACACGACGGTCGAGTACCTCAAGGCGACCCCGGCGTCGTCTCTTCCGATCCTGCGACGACCAAAGCGCGACCACCACCACCAGCAGCAGGACGTAATCGACTGGTTCTGGCGCATCGTACACTCGTTTTCCCAAGTACAAAAGGCCAAACTGTTGCAGTTTGTCACGGGCTCGTCCCGACCACCCATTGAAGGGTTTCGGGTACGTGACGTTGTGATTACTATACTGCCATTGAATGCGCCATTTGTTTAAATATACAAATGTAAAACATGCAAAAACAATAGATTGATTTGGTTTCTTTTTATATATTATTATTATTTTATTATTACGTACTACACTATTATTCGGATTGTAGGCTCTTACCAGCAGCAACGGCCAAGTGTGTCCCTTCACCATCGCGCTGTCGGCGGCCACGAGCAAGTTTCCAGTTGCGATGACGTGCTTCAATCGGTACGAATTATGCATGCTCCATAGGGTTCAATCCAGTCCTGTTGTTGGGATTTGTATGTCACCATCGATATAGGTGCAATACTATGTGCTGTGGGTTTTTTCCATTGAATATCGTTATGAAAACGACAGATGATTTTTGCCTTTCTTTTTCAAGGATATTGCATTTATATATATATATATATCGGTGCAATGTGACATATATTGGTGCAATATGACATTCCCAACCATGTAGTATACGCGCGATACATATATATATATATATATATTTATACATTCCGTTAGGATTTACTTGCCCCTGTACAAATCCCAAGCAGAAATGCAAGAGTATTTGACCATGGTACGTATGCCTACATCGTTGTCACACATTATTATATACACACATGCACCAACCACGTCACATATGCCATTGTTGGTAGGTTACAGAAATGGATGTGACGGGGTTCACGATGCCATGACTGTGCTTCCGTCAAATCTATTCAATAACGACCGGCACAATCTGCCATAGATACACTAGATGCCCCCTTCTTTGCGTTAACCTTAGTATTTATCTTATTTGACCAATTTGTGCGTGGACTCTGGCTTTTTTGCCGCCGGTGGGGCCAACAACTGCGCTAAGTCGTCCTGCTTTGGTTTATTTACAAATGGCTGCATTTGCCAAGACGCAATGTATACCACGGCGGTGTCGTGGTCGTAACACTCGACGATGTCCACGGCGATCAGTGCCTTGGCCATGAGCTCTTGCTGGTACATCTCGACCAGTTGCTGCAAGTACAGGTCTATAAGGCACATTGTGTTATGGGGTATTTGGAGACGGTCGAACGTGCCGTAATGCAGACGCGACAGTGTCGGATCGATTTCGTAGTCTTGGCTGGAGGACGACACGTCGAGAAAGCACAAGGCGCGCATGTTGACGATGATGTCGCCCTAATGATGTGGCAATTGGACTAGTGCACACATACTGTTGACGTACGAGTTGGTCGAGGATGTCACTTAGGTGTTGCCAACACTGATGGGCTTCTCTCTCCAGCTAGGACGGACGCATCGGATCATCGGCATACAATTGTATCGAGGAACGGTACCTTGTGGCGAAGCGTGACATGCAACGCATTGGCATCGGCGAGCCCTGCCCACGACTCCCCATCTGCATGCGATAGCTTCTGGTTGGCGTTAGCTATCTGCGTGAGTCGACTGGTTCCTTGGGCCACACACTTTTCCCACTCCTTCACCAGATCGCTAAACGCGGTCAATGGCGTCTCTCGCTGAAGTCCTGCCATGAGACGACGGCCGAAAAGCGTTGCGTCAGAGTACTTTAGTAAGTACTACATCGTTGTAGTAATACTAGACGTTTCACAGGGGGTTTTCTGAGCCTTCGCCTTCGAAGTACTATTTCGCTTAACAGCTTAAGCTTAGGCTATATCCATTGGTCTTCGAGTTCCTTTGGTCACACATTTCCCGTTACTTCGTCAGTTCGCTAAACGCAGTTTGTGGCGTATTTGCCTGTCCCGACTGTGAGTCATGTAGTAATACTAGCCGTTTCAAGCGGATACGATTGGCCAGCCCTCCTGAGCTGGTCCTCATAACGTTACTAGTATCGGTAGGAGCGACCCCAACATTGGTTCCCACTGCTTCTGAAAGCCAAGCATGGGCACGGGCGTACGTCTAACGTTATCTTACATGTTAGAATGCTCACAGTCCGTAAGTACAATTTGTGATCAACTGGGCGTGGATTGGCTACAATCTAGCCAATCCAAAACGATGAAATCAAATTTCGAATAAAAATAGATCAAATTATTTGAACTCCGACGGGCTAGCATACAAAAACAAAGTGTATACAATAAACGGGTAGATCGGAATAAAATATTGTGCCTGGTTCACCACGACATGTTTTGGTTGGTGGTGGGGTTGGGCTCGCACGACGCACGAGTACTGGTCAACCATTCCTTGATCGTATCTGAAAATGGCGGAAGATAAGAAGTCCCTGAAGAAGAAGTCCAAGGAGGTGCATGAACTCATCGCTCCTGAAGCGACCACCCCAGTGCTGGACACGTCCAAATGGCCACTCCTTCTCAAGAACTACTCGAGCTTGAACATCCGCACGGGCCACTACACGCCCATTGCCAGCGGGTCCACCCCTCTCAAGCGCAACTTGAACGACTACGTGCGCTATGGTGTGATCAACTTGGACAAGCCTGCGAACCCGTCGTCCCATGAAGTCGTGGCGTGGATTCGTCGCATCCTCCGCGTGGAAAAAACCGGCCATAGCGGCACCTTAGATCCCAAGGTCACGGGGTGTTTGATCGTGTGTGTGGACCGCGCGACTCGGTTGGTCAAGTCCCAGCAAGGCGCCGGGAAGGAGTACGTGGCCATCGTCCGTCTTCACAGCGCCATCGAAAGCCAAGCAGTGTTGGCGCGCGGCATCGAAACGCTAACCGGCGCGTTGTTCCAGCGCCCGCCGCTGATTTCCGCGGTGAAGCGCCAACTGCGCATCCGCACCATCTACTCGTCCAAGCTCATCGAGTACGACCAAGACCGTCACCTGGGTGTGTTCCACGTCAGCTGCGAAGCCGGCACGTACATCCGAACCCTGTGTGTGCACTTGGGGTTGGTGCTCGGTGTGGGCGGCCACATGCAAGAGCTCCGACGCGTGCGGTCAGGCGTGCTCGGCGAGGCCGACACGATGGTCACCATGCACGACGTGTTGGACGCGCAATATGCGTTCGACACGTACAAGGACGAGACGTACTTGCGCCGCATCGTGCGGCCGTTGGAAGTGCTGCTCACGACTTACAAGCGTATCGTGGTCAAGGACAGCGCCGTCAATGCCGTGTGCTACGGCGCCAAGTTTATGGTCCCCGGTCTGCTTCGGTTTGCTGACGACATTGACATCAACGAAGAGGTCGTGCTCATGACAACCAAGGGCGAAGCGATCGCGATCGGGATTGCCCAGATGACCACCGCCGTCATGGCAACATGCGACCACGGCGTCGTAGCCAAGATCAAGCGCGTCATCATGGAGCGCGATACGTACCCCCGACGCTGGGGATTGGGTCCCATGGCCCAAAAGGTTAAGGGGCTCGTGAAAGACGGCAAGATTGGCAAGTTTGGCAAAGTGAACGCGAGCACCCCCGCCGACGTTTCCAAGGTGTACAAGGAGGCCAAGGAGGATAAGGAAGTGGTGGTGCCGCCGTTGGTGCAAGAAGTCAAGGAGGATGAAGTGGTCAAGAAGGAAAAAAAGGAGAAGAAGAAGAAGGCCAAGCGCGACGCCGAAGAAGTTCAAGTTCAAGAGGCCGCGGACGCCGACGAACCGGAAAAGAAGAAGTCGAAAAAGAAGAAGAAGAAGGCGGACGGCAACGACAGCGACTAGACAAACGTGTTGTTGCTCCGACGAGTTATCGAGACGAGGCTAGGACTATAAATGTGATATATATAACAAGACAACACACAATACTAACACTACAGTGCTGCTTGCTGCTTTCTTTACCTAACGTTATGGAATGGTGTGTGGGGTGCTTTGGGGGTCGTCATCATGAATGCACACTGTACGAAACAGGGTTGTTATCAAGAGTAGTCCTGCTGCCTCCAAGGGAAATAATATCGTGACGCAGGTCCTCCTTTTGCGGGAGCTACAGTGAAACGCGGTAGAACTCGGCCACTGTCAAAAATATAATATAACGTGACCGATCAGTGATCCGCCAACTGACCAGTGATCCGCCAAAAACTTTTATCCAATAACATGGTTTCTCGAATTGTATTGGACAAAACAAAACCTCTTACAATATTGACCTCGTGAGAAATTATGGAGGCAAAACTTATACAATTTAAGAGGTTTCCGATTTGAATTGACAACGAAATGCCGCCACGAACATCGTACACGAAGGACACGTTGCGTGTGGCCGTGCATGCAGTGTTAGCTCAAGAACACACTATTGCCTCAGCGTCTCGTGCTCACGACATTCCCTTGCGCACACTCCGTGAACACGTGACCAATGCACGTAACGGCAACTCACAACGGTGTCGATGGGACCACCACCAGTCTTGCCACGGCCGTTCGAACTCGACTTGGTGGCCTGGATACTTGCCATGGAGCGTGATGGGCATCCAGTTGGATGTCGAGAATAACTGATAAGGCCACCGAAATGGTCGCCGTGGTCCAAGACATGCAATCCCCAAAACTGACGACCGGATGGTATACAAGATTCCTCATGCGACACCCTCAAATCAAGATCGCAAAGACTCAAGTGTTCAGTAAGACCCGAAACGGTGTCGATAAAGATACGGTCGTCGAATTCTTTCACGATCTCGTACACTCCATGTCAATGGTGAACATGGACCCAAGCCGAATTTTCAACATGGACGAAACAAGCTTCTCGCCCTCGAAGACAGCAAGGAAGGTTGTGGTCCACCGTACGACAAAGGTTGTTTACGCCGAGGAGTCATCTGCTGCTTCACACGTCACGATTGTCGCATGTGTGGCTGCTGATGGGGCCAAGATATCGCCGCTCTTTGTGCTGCCTGGAGACCGTGTATCTACCGATACAGAGAACCGAGGATGAACTCGCCCACAGTTGTACTTCAGAAATATAATTCAACTTGAGGTTCAATTGTGATTCAACATTAAGCCAATCACAGCTCTACCGCTCGACAGACCTTATTGGAGTAAATCTTGCAATCAAATGGGCTATTCAAAATAATCTTAGCGTTACTATGGATGAGCAATAGCTTTACAAAAAAATGTATTATAGTTGGTGCAAAACCATAGCCGCACTTACAATATGTGCACTAATAGTCGATTGTGGCACCCCTTTTCAAGATGACTTGAGCCATGCGAGTTGGCATGCTGTCCACGAGGGTCCTGAAATACGCGAGAGTGATGCGGTTCCACTCAAACTGAATTTTGCACTTCAAATCTTCGACATTGTCGAACTGGCGTCCATTTGCGTAAATGGCGCGAGCCAAACACCCCAGACATTTTCGATTGGGTTCAAATCGGGGCTCAGAGCAAGCCAACCCATCATAAAAACATCTGCAGCTTGTAGAAACGCCATGGTATGTCTTGAAACGTGTATGGACGCGTTGTTCTGTTGGAACACGACGGATTTACCGACGTTCATTTCTCGGACGGTCGCTAGAAATGGCAACATGTAAGTCGCCAATGTCTCACAGTACTTGATGGAGTTTTGTTTGCCTTGTAGGAAGGCCAGTTCACTCTTTCCATAGTTGGAAAACGCCCCCACACCATTACACTTTGGCCACCACCGACGCTCTTGGAGTACATTTCTTGGGGGACTCGACATTCATTCGAGTAGCTTTGAAAGCCATCGAGACCATCTAAGTTCAACTTTTTTTCGTCCCAAAAGATCGTTACGAGCCACCTATCATGTTTATTAAGGTACTTAGGTGCGAAATTGGATTGTGCTTTTTTGTGGGCGGGAGTGAGCCGCGGACATTACTTTCTTTTCCGATACTTTGCAAACTTGGAGCTGCGAAGGATACGAATGATTGTAGTGTGGCTTGGTTGTGGATCTAACGTGGCAGCAATCTTCCGCGAGGGTTGTGAATTGCAAGTCGCAATATTCGCCGGATGTCGCGCCGCTTAAAACGTAGGCGACGCCCTGGCCGTTTCGTTGTTTTGGGTTGAAGTTGCTGCTTCCAAATGTTGCTTATGGCCTTTTCGCTCCTTTGCAAGGCATGGACAATCCACCGGTTGGACTTTCCAAGTGACTTGTACGCTTGGGCCTGGTCCACCTCTTGTGGGGTCAGTTTGGTTCCCCTGGGCATGGGTTGTTAGCGAATGGGTGGTTGAAACATATGTATGTCATTGGGTGTTCGTCAGCGTCATTTTAACCTATTTTACGGCTAAAACAGAGCATTATTACATGAAATATGGTGGAAAAACGCAAGTGCGGCTATAGTTTTGCACCAAGTAAAATACACGTTTTATTGTCGATTCGTTACGAATTTCCAGACCTCGTCGAATCGCATCACGCCGCCGAATCGAATCACGAATCGACGCTATTGGCTAATCTAATTTTGCGTGGATTTACAGTCAACGTTAGCAACCAACGACCCAAAAAATTCTCTATAAACTTAACAAAGTATGTAACCACAGAGGTATACGACCTTCGACAATTTATTGAATGCAAAATTATACATTTTAATGGGTAGTGTTTATCAAGAGGTCCAACTAATCACTATCACTGCCACCATCGTCGCTTTCGCTCCCCGCCGAGGACTCCTCGTCGGACTCCAGCCGATCAATTTGTTGTAAATGCTCGTGAAGCATATGCAGTGAACCTTCTGCGACTTTCACACAACCCTGGATAGCATGAGGCGTCAACTTTGCAAACGCAGCAACTAATCGAGTTTTCACCT